GCGTATTCGCGAAGAGTAGGGTCGTCCTTATTTCCTCGATTGACCTCACTTAATCTCTCCAATACCGCATCGTAGGCGCGAGATATGAATGTCTCGAGGTCCCAACGATCGTCATATATCCACCCTCCACTTACGTCCCTCACAGCCACTACCCATTCTCCGTCGAGAGGGACTGGCTGGAAATGGTCTGGGTGCCACACGATATCATGGCCCCAATCTTCGGCTGTGGAGAAGGTGTGTTTGTCACCTATGTGGAAGGGAGTCGCAGGAGCCTTGAGATGCAGATGGTCCGTAGGAACTGGATGACCGGGTCGAAGACGTTCGGGCTGCGGTGTGAGACGAATAGGCTCCCCCGGCGAACTCCTCAGACGGGACAACCCACCCCTCTTGACAGGCGTTGAGGAGGACACGGGCGTGGGACCGCCCGAGGTAGGTGTAGCGAGAGGTGTCCCCGGTTTGCATACTGATGGCGACTCAGAAACTTGGGCGTTGAAGATGGCCAATTGCCCGTCCAAGTCGAAGAGGTCGTCCTCAACGCTCTCCTCCTGCTCAGTCTCGATATTGAAGTCGTCCTCCTCACTGAATGCCAGGTTGTACTTATCCAAAGTGAAGTCGGCCGGATCGACAACATCCTCATTAAAAAAGACATATTCCAGCCTCTTAATGAAGCTTACAGCGCCGGCCCGACTTGCTCCGTGGTAGCCCTGGAGGACCGCAATGGCGACTTCCTTCCGCACCACGTACTGCGGGTCAAATCTCAACCTTGGTTGTTCACCGTAAAGGAAGGAGTAGACCTGGCGCCTTTTCTTCGGAGTCAACTTGAAGAACATGTCCTTGTTCGGGTCATAAACGGGCTCGACCACGACATGGTGGAAATCGCATGGGTAAGCTTTAGACAACACTTCATGGGTGACATACTGCACGGTGTATTCGAGCTGCGTTGTGTCCCCATCCACGACCAAGACGTGCCTTCCCTGCTGAAGCAGACTCCACACCACCTGCGCGTGCGGCTTGCCCAAAAACAGCACGGCATCCGCCACACCACATAAGAAAAGAAACTGATTGCACAACTGATTCGGATTTCGCTCGCCGTCCTTGTACAGAGCCCCCCTCTAGGTCAGGTTTCCGATGTCCGCGAAAGTCAAAGACTTGAAAGACTTCTCCTCCACATCCGTGGGTGTCACTTTTTGTTTCCTTCGGAGAGCGGCGACGTCGTCTTCAGCAACAGCTCCCTCGTACACCGGGTGAGTCTGTAGCCGAGGATCCTCSCCTTTGAAAAGGATGTGCATCACATCCGGCTCCTCCCAGACGCTGTTTCCAAACTGATGCGTCTTCTTCGATGCCGTCTTCCGAACCCACTTCCCCGTGTAGCATCGGGTAGCCCCAAGCGCAGACAAACATGTCATGAAGGAGAGGTTCCACAAGCAGGGGACGAATACCACCAATGTCCAGTAGTCCTGACAAACGAAGCCCAACAACTCACTTAGAGACGCGAATGCCCCAGAGTCCCATTGCGCACGGTCCACAGCACCGCACAAGTCGAGCACGCAAGTGTGGGAGCGTAGCTGATGCCCTAGTTTTCCAAGCGGCTCGTTATGATTTCTGGCACTCAATAGGTCGACGTTAAACTGGGCCAGCGTCGTCAAGGCGCTTGTCCTTGTCCACATAATGTTGATGCATTCATCAACGCCCTGAGGTTTTTTTTTGCCTTTAGCGCGATCTCCAGTGACCACTGAAAGGACGACACGCTTCCACTCCGCCGGGAAATGCTGGTCGTTGATGAGGGGCGCCGTTCTCTTAATGTTGTTGTCGTGTTGACACCCGAGAAACTGAGGGCACTTGTTGACGTATGTGGTGTCCGTGAAAAATTTCTTGCTCTCGTTCCAAAGCTTGTCGTTGAGACCTCTGTCCTTGAACTCTTCGAACAGTTGCTTCTTGGACCTGAAGAACGTGGAGTTGGCATTCCACTCCCGCTTATCCATTTCCTCGTACTCGAACTCCATGTAGTGCCATAGCCTCAGCATAATCCGGTCCATTTTTATTGTGTCGACCATCTCCTTGACACTGAACTTCTCCTGCTCGGCCAACTTTTTGCTACTCGTTTGAACCCACACGATGTTCAGGTTCAAGACGCTGTTCAACAACCTTTTCTTCTCGCGGTCCATCAAGTCCACCAATTCCTTCCAGCAGTGGACATCCTGCTCTGGAACTTGGACGTAGAAAGTTTTCTCCTCCGCAACCCTTTCTTTGGCTTCCCCCTGTCCTTTTTCAACGACGGGTCGTCCACCTTCACGTACCAGACGTGTTTCTTCAGCCCCTGGCTGTCAGTCACAGTGGAGAGTCCTCGCTTGGCCACCTCCTCATGGGTGGGCGGCTTTTCAGTCCAACGCCGGCCGTCGGAAGCAAGGAGTTTCCCTTTCGACCACTCCTCATAGAACTTCAACCCCAAAGCGAAGACAGAGTCATCTGCCATGGCCAAC